GATCAGGTAGGGAGGACATACTATCAGATAGTGAAACACTGTATAAGAATAAAAGACATCATTATGGTCTAACTGTAGGTTTGTATTCATTTTTATTGCCACTGGCTTATGTTTATGTTTATAAAAATGTTTTGCATATATGTGTAAATTTGAAATACATGCTTGCATTACAACTTTTTTATGCGATAGCAGTGTAAATTCAATTATCACACCTCTTTAACGGCTTTTGTCTGCATGTCATGAGTGCAAATGTTTTCTCTTTTCAGTGGTTTAATATATGGCTCTCAGTGAATCACTATAAATCACTGAAAAAAGCAGTAATTGCAGAATCACAAGGCTATTTAATCATGGTCAGTATAACATGTGGCCCAAACAATGCAGCGGCCTAAACAACTGTTTGATAAAAACTGTAAATTAAGGCCACAAGTCTTATTCAGGCTGTGCCACAGTTCTGAGAAAGCACTGAACAGGCAACAAGAGGATAAAACTTTAATAAATGTTGAAATGTCTTCTTAATGTGGGGCCAAGTAGCACTAGGGTGCCACTCACAGACACAGAGAGTGAGAGAGAGAGTGAGAGAGAGAGAGTGAGAGAGAGACAGAGAGAGAGAGAGAGAGAGAGAGAGAGAGAGAGAGAGAGAGAGAGAGAGAGAGAGAGAGAGAGAGAGAGAGGAGAGAGAGAGAGAGAGAGAGAGAGAAAACTTTGGACAAAAAAAAGTATTCGATTTAAAAACTACTTCTTCGCTCTCAGGCAAGTTTGCGAAAAAAAACAGGTCCCCCATATTCGGACATATTTTACAGGGGTTAATTCTTCTTAAAGCTCAGTGGTCAACAACCCTGTGGTCCTCGGTTGATGTCTGAGGCAAAAAATAAAAGTAGAACTAAAGCTAAATGATCTACTTAAGAGTACACACTAAAAACCTCCTAGTCGTCTCTGGGTGGCAGAAGTCTTCCATCTATACCTCAGCAGGCTCCAGCCCTGCCCTCCTCGGCCCATCGTCCCACCTGCCCTCCCGCGCGATGAATCAGACCAGGTGTGACTGGAGAAAGAGCCTCGATGCCTTCCGTCGCCCCTGTCCCCTCAGGACTGGTGTTTGTCTTTTAAGGTGATCAGTGGGCCCGAGCCGGAGACCGCCAACCCCCTCCCACAACCACAGGCACACTCTGGCTGCCCCACTAGGCCCCTCATTTCAAGCAAAAACTACAGACCTTGTTGCCAGGAAGATCCGGCGGACTTGCAGCAGCGAAGCAGCCCTAGCAGATGGACAGCAGGTGGTGTGTTAGGTCTGTGGGTGGTGATGTGAGTTGTGTTGGAAGAAGCTGTGATGTGGTTCGTGTGTTGTGTGTGTATGCAAGTTCTAAGATAAAGCTGTTGTTTAATAAATAAATAAGCTGTTTCATCCATTTTTTGCTTTTGTTTGAAATGTTTTATTATATTTTTTTTAATATAATGTGCATTTGTAAATTAACCTTTTCACATAAGCTTCTCATGAAATGTGTGATTCTTTTCTATGTAGGCCTGTGATTTTTAAACTGCATACTGTGTGTGTTTCTCAGTGCCTATATTGACCAGCCACTGCTCCAGGTCCACCTGAACTGGCAAGGCTGCATTCACATAAGCAGAGCACCACTGAACATTTCACAAAGGGTTGGATGAGGGGCTTTGCCCAGCGCATGGACAATGGACCGGCTCGTGTGGCACGGCACAGGTAACGAGTACCGGCGCCAACGGTGCATCACTGCGATGGCAGAGCTACAGCTGGTCCAACGCCTCTCCTCACTACCCTCTGGGGAATGCTTCACAGTTCCCTACCTAACGAATACAGGCAAGGCGTTTGCATTTCCTTACCAAGCAGTCAGAATCCCTTTTGACGAAATGAGACGCTACCGAGTTACAAACCTGCCCAGAGGGTGCCGCTGGGGCACGAGTAGACAAGTGCTGTCCCTCAGGGTTGCACAGGTAAGTAAAAACAAACGACCACCGATTTCTCAACTCGGTCCCCGACTTCCATCCAAGGCAGCCCTGGCTGACAGCCCGGCTGCACCTGGGTGGGGGGTTGGGGGTGGCGTGAGAACGGCCAATCATCTTAAAAGCAATCAGCTACAATCTACGAAGAGGAGAGGGATAGCTGAACTTTTCCCCCAATCCCCCAAAAACAGATGAGCCAAAACACAAACACAGAGCCACATCCAGAGACAGAAGAATTAATCTACGCCTTTGTAGTAAAAATCATCTGGTGGCAACAGTTATATATCAACTAAAGATACAAACGCGAACACAATGACCAAAGGGACATTCACAGACAATTAAAAAGGCACGCAAAGAAGTACACTGTGAACTGAAATTATTACCAAAAGACATGCCTGATTTCAAAAACTAAAGTGCTGAAGTTTTAACAGAAAAGAAAATGGAACGACGGGCAAAAATAAAAAGAGGAGAGGAGGGAAGGATGTTTCTCTTTCATTCACTTACCCAGAGATCTGGATGGGGGACCCCCTTTATCCCTCCATCTCTCCCTGCTTTTGCATGGTATATTAAACTTGTGAGGTAGTTCTCTGCATGTGTATGTGTGTGTGTGGTCATTGCAATAGCTGAACTCTGAGAACAGCATTATGAAATACTATTGACATGTAGACCCTGTGACAAATATACAAACATTAATTCAGTAAATTACTGATTGCTCAAGCTCCCAACTGTTAAACCTGCCTAAAATGACACATATATTAATTTCTAAAGCATGTGTTTAGAAGTGTGTCTGGTCCTGCTATATGAGTCTGACTTCCTTCCTGCTTTCTCAGAGTTTCCCTGTATGTGTGTGGTCTGGAGAGACAGAGGGAGGAAGGGTGCCATCCAGGTGGGGGCTCAGCAGTTGGCACCAAGGGGCGATGCCAGAAAATGTACCCACCTGATGAAGTCCCCGTTGGGGTCGGTCCGCCGGCCGAAGCCCACGGGGCAGTAGCAGTGGAAAAACTGCTGGAAAAATGAACTGCAGGACAGCCACATCCAGCTGCCTGCGTTCACGCTCCAGTCTGCATCTAGAAGCAACTCCTCAAAGACCTGCAACATAAAAAAGGCAGAGGGTTGTCCAGATGTTTGTTTTAAACATGATGCAGAGGTTTCTCAAAGTGTCTAATAGAGACCTTTCAGGGGACACTAACAGATACACTGACGGGCCTAAATGGGCTTTTTTTTGCAGTGTCCTGACTCCCATTATCTGGGAGTTTTTCTTGACAATACAGGACAGTACTTGCTTACAAAACAGTCATATAATTTACTGGTAGACCTAGTATTAAAACATTTATCTCCAGTTTTGAAGTGTTATACAGTGCAGCTTATCCTCCCCACAGTCGAGTTTTAAACTAAATACACATTTATATAGGCGTTCTGAGTGAGGGGCTAAAATACTACTAAAATTTTGAAGGAAAAAATAGATTATTTCCACGATAGTTGGTCATTTTAATCAATTTCCAGGTGTTTCCATGTCTCTAAATGTCTATATTTTCCATGTTTTCCAGGGCACATGGGAATCCTGTTCTTTACTCCGCTCTGTCCTGTAAATTCCTGCATCCTCACCTTCATCCCTTCCTCCCAGCTGATCCACAGGTCCCCCCTGGTGAGAAAGCAGGCAACTGCATGCCTGGCCAGGTGATGGATCCAGCCCTCCTGCCTCAGCTGAGTCATGATGGCGTCTATCCAGGGGAAACCTGTCTTAGCTTCAGCCCACTTGGCAAGTGCTTCGGGATTTTTGTCCCAGGGGATGCGGACGCAGATGGGGTTACCCTCCATCTTGTCAAAGCGTGGGTTATTGGTCGCCGCAGTGTAGAAGAACTCCCGCCACAATAACTGGCCGTACAGAGAGAGTGGAGGGGAGCTGTTCTTTTTCACCTGTATAAAGAAACATAGCAGGAATAGAGAACATTAGGTTAAAAAGGCAGTGGGAAGTTGGAAACGCTAGAGTGAAGGTGAGGGAATTTCTAGACAATGAAAGAATTGGTAAGAATTTGGTACATAAGCATGCCAGCTGAGCTATGAGATCTGAATATATTTTTTCTTTTGTAAAGAAGTAGAAGTTCTTTTAGCAACCAGCCACAGTTGTATTTTTTAGGTTCTATATCTTAAATTTCACACAGGTGCATATTATTTGAATTCTGGTCCAGATTCGATCTCTGTTCTCTCATCTTTTTTCATGTGCTTGATTCCAAAGCTATTATAGGGATTTTGTCACCATAAGCCAGTAAGTCTTCAATGCTTACATCACTAAACAAATGGAAAATAAAAAATAAGATGCAGTTGTAAGTGGGCTACAATACAAGAACTTTTCTAAAATTATCCTTCAATTTTAAAAACTAAATAGATTATGGTGTAAATCTATCTACACTGTGATTCACATATATAATTACACCTGTGAAATGCATGCATGACATGGGTTCTTTCGACATTTTTCACATGTGATAAAAAAAAAAAAAAGCTTCACTCTGACTGAACTGCACTGGAGGAGCTGTGAGCTGACCTTGCGGTAGAGGTCAGTGAGCTTGAAGTAGAAAAGGCGGCACGAGAGGCAGCCGAAGCGCAGGTACGGGCTGAGGCCCGTCGGGCTGGCCAGCAGCGAGTTGGCGTTCATCCTGGGACGTTCAAAGTTAGCCACCCAGGCCTGGAAAAAGACACAGAGAGAGAGAGAGAGATAAGAAGGGAGGAGGAGACAGATGAGAGATGGTAGATTGGTGAATAAAAGAGCTGCAGGGCACAATTAATATAATAATTTTAAAGAATGTGATTCTTTCTTTTAGATTGAAACTGAAACATTTGTTTCTTAATCATATGACATTGGATTTATATTAAAAGTCAGTTACGCTCCATCACTCAGGGTCTAAAATGTACGTGACAAGAAAAAAGTGCAATTCCCAAAATATTTTTGTGAGTCCCAAAGTGCCCCCAACAGGTGGTGCAGTACTGACTTTTCTCTCCAGATGGCGCTCTATCCTCGTCAGAGCCTCAGTCTCTCCTCCCGGCCACACGGCTGTAGGCAGGCCCTCAATGTCAAAGCCTGAAAACATTGAATCAGCTTCCTGGTTTACAAACACTGTTGCACCGGTATGTTGGATGGCTCAATAATCCTTCAGTTATGTCATATATGTTAAATTAAAAGCTTATACAACATCGTTATAAGCTCATCGTTAGTTTTATCCAGGCAATCAGCGTGCACTCCAGCCTGCTAATAATTCCATCAAAGCACAGTCAGCCATGTTATCAGTGGTTTCCTTGAAAGCTGGTTTTGGTTTAATCCAGGAACTCTTTGGCCCGTTGTTTTCACTTTATTCATACAAATCTGACAGATATGACATATGTTTTGCAGTTTAGTTTACGAGCCACCTGCAGATGAAGCAACAGGTGCTGAGCTTGAGTAGAGACATAGATATTCATCAGTGGTGTTAAATAGGAGCTGTTCAGTGTCCTGCACAGTGTCAACTTCCAACACATCATTCAAATAGATTAGGGGGAGGTTCAAAATAACTATTCTTAAGTGTAAGTCTGATCTAGGTTAAAGCAGGTCTGGGTTTGAATGCATTTCTTAATTCGTGAAGGCGAATAAAATAAACCTAGTAAGTTTAAATTCTATAAAAAAGGAGCCAGTATTCTCAGTGAAGATTTAAGTTGTTTTTGTCTTACTGTATGGACCTATCAATTACACTGTGTGGTTCTTAGGAAATTTGTCATTAAGAAAATAAACAAAGTACTCTAAACATACCCTATCTAGAATTTTATAAATTACATATCAGATTTTGAATTTACTAATCTACTAAACTCTATTCTGAATGTTTCAAACTTTACCTGATTGATTCATAATTCTACACACAATCTATATTAATTGCGCTGTTTGATAAAACTGGAAAGCTCATCGTAATGCATTGGCTCTTAGAAGGTGACCCAAATAGTTCACTTGGTACACAGGTGCAGGTGTGAGCAGCAGATGGCTGCAGTGCTGTCAGAGTGTGAATGGAAAGTGGCCTTCTGTGAATGGAAACCAGACATCTTGACTGACTGATTGTAAGAGGGTTAACATGTTACCTGCTTTATTTAGGTGGCACATGACAGCCTGTGTGGAATAAACCTTTACAGAGAGAAACCGGACATCTGTACTGCAGTTTTTAGAACGTTAATGCCTAAAATATCTTATTCACTGGTGAAATAGTTACACAGATGCAGCCAGCCGATGACTACAGCGCAGTTTGCAGCGCCACTGTATGAATGAACTGTTAACATTTTGTGAATGGAAAGGCAAGGAAGGGGGCCGTGCCATCGGATTAATCCAATAGTGAGGGTTTAGATGAGATGTACCTTTAAATAGAGAAAACTGGATTGACTGTTTAAGCAGGGTTAATGAGTGTACTGTTTAATCGTAGAAGGGATCTTCATTTTGTTTAAGTCTTAATCAATCATTGAGTTATTATTATATTTGGTCAGATTTTAGGCAACACATAATACATCTTATTCGACTTCAAATTTAAATGATATATCTAATTTTAAAAGTATTTTAAAACTTTAAAAATATTGATTTCTGGAGATTAGATTTGATATATTAGAGGTCATATTATATTTGAGGACTGGAGTTAATGTTTTTTCAAGGCCATTTATCGTGTGTCTTTTAGGGTTAGCCAAACCTAAAATCCAGTTAACCTATGGGAGTTTCTGTTAGAGTGCTTTTAAAAGGTTTTACTGTCATTCAGAAATGAATTTGGTTGGTCTGAAGTCAGTATATTCTCCTCATACTGCCTACACATAAACGTCCTAAACGTCCTTGTTAAAATGCTTGTAAAGTCTGTCCAGGTCTAAGTGCAGGGGTGTGTGTTTCGTTTCTCACCTAGTTCCTCCAGGGACGGGACCCCGTACTTGTCTCCGTGGTCCTCAGAGATGGGGGTGACGCAGCGACCCATTAAGGTATCCGACAGCGTCTCCACAGGCAGCTCAGGAGGATCCAGTCGACTGATCAGGGTCTGGAAACGCTTGTAGGTAAGAGGAGGCTGGCCGCCATTCAGCTCTATGATCCTGGGGAGAGGCAGAGACGGGGACTGGTCAAGTTTGAATCTAAAAATCTAATTTACTATTTGCACAAGTATAACAAAAACTACTACTAAGTTTGTCTTGGGGATGATGGCACAAAAACATATGTTAACATTTCAACAGCCCTTAAATGTGCTGTTTTATCATGTATGTTTTTCCACTGTTTGTATGTCTCTGTGTGTGTGTGCATTTTTCCTCACTTGTCCAGGTCGTAGAGGGTGTGCGATATCTTTACAATGACCTCCACACCTGCCTCCATTGCCAGCTTCTTGATGGCAGCATCTCTCTCCTTCCCAAAAGGCTCAGAATCGTATTCAAAGGTCAGCCGAGAGATCTTCCACTCCTGGGACAGAGAGAGAGCACAGACAGCTTGCCCATCAGAAGTCCAAGGGGACGTCTTTAAACGTTTTTTTTTTAAAAGGTATTAATCAGCAAATAACTTTTGAAAGGCTGGAAGAAGCAGCTCACTGGATTTTTCTGTTCGATAAATTACTTTAAATGAGATTATTAGAGCTACTGTTAATTTCCTGTTGACACTGACCTTAAAGAGCCGCGGGAACACATTGGCAGGTTGGCCTCTGATTACAAAGAGGCGAGAGTTGAGCTTCCGAAGGTTGGCATCCAGATCCTCTAAACACTGGAGGAGAAATCTGAAGAAGGAAGACAAAGAGAGTTAGAGAAATAAGGAAGAGGACAGCACATGTACTGATGATCTCTCTATCTCAGGTTTCCCTGAATTTGGAGCACTCTCAGATAGAATTGAATTCATGATCTTTCTTTTTGTTATTAAATATGTATGAATGACTTTTTGGTCCTGACTGGGTTTACATTTTCTCCCATGATTCACTTTGCTGCTTGTTAGTTTAGTACTTTTTGAGGGGCTTCAGATGTTTGGCCCTTACTTGACGTCACGCTGCCAGTGCTTAGACAACAAAAGGCCATCGACCTGTGTTGTATGCGAAAAATACACTGTGATATCAGTGCGTGTGTGGGGATGAAGAGTACGTGTGTGTGTGTTTGGGTTTCATGCATGACACATAAGACCCCCCCCCCCCTCCGTGAGAACTGATTTCCTTCAGTGTCAGACACGCACGTTTGAAGCTTTAATGGTACAACATATACTAGAAAGAAATAATAGAATAAGAACAGTCCCTCTGTGTCTCACTCATTGAAAATAAAGAATTAAAAAAAGTGTCCAACATCTGATGTGAAGGATAGGATGGATGCAGATTTAACTCTTAAGTGTACTCTACAATAGCATTTGTATTAGTGCCAACCCATTTTCAGTGAATCCTGTTTGTCCTTCTGAAGCAGACAAGTGACGACACTCACTGATAAGAACAATAACAGTCTGCCAGTGATATATTCATCCGAAATCCAAACATTAAATATTGTCTCTCCAGGACTAGACTGCAATCTCTTTTGTCTTTTTAAATGAAACGTACCCTTAATTGTAATTCAACAGCCCTTATTATCAGAATGAATATGGACATGAAATCGTGGAGGAGGATGGCCTTGGCTGACAATACTGAAGGCCTAACTCTCAGTGGAGAGAGGGCTGATAGGAATCTTGCTACTGTAAACTGTTTGCATGAGTAGGTTCCTGTTCAAACTTCATTTCAGTCAAATTTTCTTTGATGTTTCACCTTTAAACAAACTACGACTGACTGTTTTTCACCGTTTCCAGAGTCACTATCAGTTATCTACGCTGATGGTTGAGCCCGGGTGCTCTCACCCCCTCATCCCTGTCAAGATTGAAAGTGTGGAGAGCAAAAGAGATGAAACGCATTGGCGGAAATGCAATCTCGGAAATCATCAGCAATTGTCTAAAGATTATTTAATTTTTTATTACCTTTTTAAAAATGTATCTGCATTTATTTGTAGATCCATGTTTATTTTGAGCCCTGAAACACTGGCCGTTGCTCCCAGAGGCTAAACTGTTGTCATACGACAGCCGATGGGTTCTCAGATCGATAATCAACTGACCCCCAAACATTTTGGATTGCAAATTTCTCATGAGCAAGATGTGACTCAGAAAGACACTGAAGTTCTGGACACAAACACAAAAACCCCACCAAAGGTCCATAGACCCAAAATGACCTAATAGGTCATTTGGCAAGTTGGTGACTCATGTGAGTGTTTTAAGACCTGCCACTTCTATTGTAAAGGTCTGGTTATGTTTACGCAAGTTTTTAAACCATGATGGTGATCCTTCCCAAACATTACTGGTAAATAAAACTGTTGGCAGAAGACAGGAGGTGAACCGTAAGCTCAACAGTCAACTTCTTCTCCCCTAAACGTGCATTCAGACGGAACATGACGCAAATTTTAGGAGGACTGTTTGAGTGTTGCTGTCTGTGTTCATTTGCTCCTAACCACCACTGTACCTAACAACCAGCAAATTCACCAAGTGTAAGTTTGCCAAATTTGTGTTTTTTGTTATAGCTCTGAAGAGGGTTAAGCCTGGTTTTGGTCCCAAATCTCATTTGGAGTCTTCAGTTGTTGGTTAATGAGCAGTTTGAGGGAATAGGTCATGACACCTGATTAAATGCCCGAACAATCAATGATCTGGCTGGATGATGGATTGAGATCTGTTATAAACTGTACGCTTGTTTTAATATTATTGGAGTTGTATTTTACATATACATGTGTATTTCGCAACATTTTAAACTATGCCCCTAAAGCAATAGCCAAATATATGGCGGCATAGATTTACCTCTAAAAATGTATATTTAATTAGGTTAGGTTGGGAGGTTGGGTAAGTGCTCCGTGGTGCAATAACAGATACATATTCCTCATCTCTCTAAAGTTTTGGTCTGAAATACAAACTTCAGCTTCTTTTCATGTTCATGTTTGGTTGTTCATAAGGCAATGAAAGAGGGGAGAGTGGCGTCCTGCTAGTTAGAAAGAACTTCTGACGACAGGCAGCCTGATATTACATCCAAATTTCCAAGCAACGCTGCCAAACTGTGTTTGGGAACTAGGGTGTGTGAGTGGCTGTGTGTTAACTTCACTTGTGGAAATTTTGATTCATCACTGAGGAAAAAGTCAAATAATATTTGAGGTTTTAAATACTGTTATTTCAACTGCACTTCAGCTGCAGACAATGTGGTTAATTAATTACAGTGCCGTGGATCTATTACTATGGTTTCCACTGATTCAAACCAAGTGAAATCATATGTGTTTTTATTGTTGATCCATCCACAAGTGTACAGAGAGATAAAATGAATCCCTCAAGTATCATAGCCATCACAACAACACAAATAAACAGAACACAAAACTGGAGCACGGTACGAAGCAGTACACGTGTAAGATGTGGAACAGTATCAGAACAAGGCAGCAAGGCACTAAACGCCCTAATACAGTGGTGTAACGTTACTAAACACTGGACATATCAGTGACAGACTTTAGCATGTGCAAAATTCAACTTCCTGTTTTGAACATTTTAGGATTCAGCATTTAAATCTTTCTTTAAGTAGTTTGTAATTTATGTTTTATCTTTTAAATTTCACTTAAATTTTAATGTTTGTGTTTGCCACATTTTAATTCATCTTTTCATTATTTATATCATTGTTACAGTAGGCGGCAGCTGTTTTTAGAAAAAAATCTGTAAAAACCCACCGTACACTACCTCCTGCTGCTGAGCAGGTTTAGAGACTAGCTGGTGAACATAGTGGAGCATTCAGGAACCCAATATATCCCTCAAGAGTTGGTAGAGACCAAAGACAGAGCTAGAAAAAGAGTAAATATTGGACTTAAATTCATCAAGTGGCCAGAAACACAACTCCAAATGAATGATAATGTTGCTCTGTAACTGCTGGATGTGGAAATCCGCGACTGAATTCACCATATGAACGTAAAGGTTATCTCAGTAGATCTAGACAAATAAATAAATAGTTTTTCTTCCACCGCTGTCACAATAATACAACACAGCAAAACAAACAACACAAAAGAGTGAAAGTTGATGTGAACACGGATCCTTTCATCAAGCTAATAATCACTGTGTTAGACAACCTGCATGTTGGGCCTAGTAACAGCCATCACTTCAGTACCACAGGTCAAACTGCTGAGCATCACCCTCCTCCTGATCATTAGCAGAATCTGGCGGGATCAGAGAAGAAGCAGACAGTCGGCAAGCCGAGCAGACAGCCCAGCGGCCAGACTGTGTTCTGCTCAGTTCTGTTCCCTCCCGTCTGACCCCGTTAGCCTGATCATTAAACCAGAGGAGGGCTTGCTAACAGGCAAAGCTCTGTTTGTTCCCAATCCGCACACAGACGGGCCGAGCCGAGCGGCAAGGTCGTGCACACTTGAGGCACGTGTCTACTTATGCATGAGCTAGACAGGGTTGTGAAGCTTGATAACTGACCGTCTGGGTTGGTCTTTTTGTAGACCAGCTCAGACTTTACAAATAGTTCAAAATAGTAATTCTAATTGTATTCTAATTTTGATACTTATTTGATATGCACACAGTTGGTCAACAAGACAAACTTTAAGTGTACTACAAGGAGTTTTTAGCTGGTTATGAAACAGTCTCAATTTAATACAGATGCCTCTGTATGACCTAGATAGACAACAAAATCAGCAAAAAGATTAGCTATTTCTGTAGAGTTATTCGTAATGCCGGCCACCGGTTCGGATTCAGTTGGATTCCCCTTGAAATTAATGAAATGAGGGAGTAGAAACACTACCACGTTGTCCACAGGGGCCGCCAGAATCAACACAAAGCGAAAGTTCCTTGTATCGGCTCTAATAAGGAAACGTTTTTCAACCACACATTCAAGATTAATAGAGGGTCTGCAAGAGAGCCCGAAAACTCAAAGCTGACATTTTTAAAAGACCATTTCCTGTTTAAGAACCAAAACTTTGAAAAATACTGAAAATCTGGCTCTGTGGCTTAAATCCTTTTGCTTTAGTTTGCAACAATATTACTGCCTGTTGATCATTTGAGTCATTTCATGCAGCGGTGGGCATGCATTACAGTGAGATCAGGTCCCGCAAATGGTTTGTGGTTACACCACTTACAGCCCGCACTCTTCACCTGAAGCCATACAGAACGCACAGGAACCCCCTCTGTCTGCCTCTCTTCAAATTACTTTTAATTAAGACACCATGTGTCATTTCTGTGTACTCCAGAATGTAAACTCCTCAGGTCAATAAATCCCCCTAATTCCCAGTAACAGTATTGAGGGCATGACCTTAGTGTCCTGAACTGAGTTAAGCTGAGGTAATCATGCAAACAATCTTAAATGTGAAAAGCAAAAGTCAGTGAGGCTGCTTTTCTGAAGACATTATTAAACACCATGGAAACTGTATTTGTATATAAAGCGAAAACAACGAGCAGATTTTGCATTTCTTTACCTTAAGTCACATAGTTAGTCCATATCTGATCCGATTAAATCACATTCTGTTGGACTGCCCTCTTTCTATCTCAGTGGACAAAAGCATTTAAATAATATCAGAGGGGCTCAACAAATCATTCTGGGTGACTTTCTACCATCTGTTATATGTGTGCACCCTAACATGCAGCGGATAAGCATGTATGCCCACATGCATTCATCCAAATCTTTTTTCGAGCCCAAGCGTGAGTGTCTGTGTGCGTGCACCTATTAGGAGTGTGCATGTGCTCATATGCACATGCATGAGCATTAGT